CACGCCACGTCACTGATGTAGCAGAGGACCGCTCGTATCACTCTGAACGAGAAGGCAACAAGCACGCAGGTAGGTCTTCCAAGAAGGGAGCTATGTTGCACCCTGATGTTTTGTTCAGGGTCCATGCACGGGCTGAGGTTCGAAATACGGATCGTGCGGATGTCTATAGCACTCTTGTGGTACGCTTGCCTGCTGGACCTGCGACGCCTCATGTCCTGTAAGCTGCAATCGGCGCGCGGTGCTCCGCGAGATTCTGTAACGGAGCGGCGTGCACAAACATCCATAACAAACCGTCAATCATGTGCTGTGTCGTCTGAACGCTGATCTATCCGAATGGTGTGGAAGGCGCGCACAGACACCCAAAAAGTACACGCTGCATGCTGTAAGCAGCGGCACCGTCAGCGCAATTATACAGGCCAGCTCAATTCGAAAAGCGGCGACTCTCAAATAACCCGTCGAGGCTGCGCTGATTAGACTGCGTGCTTGGCAACCGTTGGGCTCTTCTAGAGTTTGGCCACCGTGGTCCTCCTGACGAGGGGCGCAAACAGCCGATCCCAAAAAGTAGTGTACACTGCCAAATGACCCACCGCCTCAGCATCGGGAGAGTAGCGGTGGTGGTCGTCGTGGTAATCTGGCAGAGATAGCAGACTGCAAAGGGGATGACCAGCCTGCTTCCAACGTAGGAGAATATGCAAGGGAGGCAGAGTCATGTTGAGATGCTCCATGACCCCGTACCATTTCGTGAACGCATAGAACGCCACGATCAACCAAGGTCGCTCCTGCAAGAGGCCTAGCCAGGCAGCGAGAATCACCGTGGTCGCCTTGCACATGAACACGTTCAGCAGCCCTTCCGCGTCAGACTCGATGTCGTTGGCCCAGGGAGACAGATGACGGACATCATGGTGCTCCTTGTGGTACCTCCTGTACAACACTCTGGTGTGCATCGCCCAGTGCAGCAGGAACGACATGAAGTCGAAATACAGGAGCATGCCGACAAAGGTCAGCGCCGTCGAGCAAAGCTCCAGCGAGTCGGACGGCCAGAAACCAACAGCTAACAAAAACAAAAAAAACCACATGACAAGATTTCGTGTCTACGACTGCGCCCCGCCTGGCGCTGCAAAGCATCCTGATAGCCGTATATCGAGGGTCCACCAAGCCTCGCCCCGGGAGACCGGGCCTGCCGCATGGCTGTCAATTGATATGGCATCTGCCAGAGCGACGCTCGGCACCCTCTGGGCGCCCCTCCATGCCCCCCTTGTCCCATGCCCCCCTTGTGGTCGTGGCCGGTGAGGCTGCAGGCCTCGGCACCGAACACACCAGTTTCACCACGCCGACGTTTGGAAGCCACCACATCATTTCTGTGGCCACGAAAGCCGAGGCACAGAACTGGCAACCCTGCTGAGAGGCCCAGGGCCACAAGCGCACTGTTGCAGTAGCTCACCGCGACAGCCGTGGTGCCAACTATCAGGACCCAGTACAAGTTCACGCACATGACGAGATTCGAAGTCGGTTCTGCCTTGAGACCGTGCGTGGCAGAAGTCTCCGAGGCAGACGGGAGGCACATGGCTGTACAAGATCACAGGCGAGGGCGCAGACTTGCAAGCTCCAAGGTTGATCGCTGCCTCGGCACATCAAAGGCTTGAGCCAAAATGGCTACGGAATGCTGCACCCTGATGTTGAAGTCGCTATGGCCCTGTTTACGGACCTTGAAGAGGCTCAGGTTGATGCCTGCAAATGGGGAAGTACGGCTGGGCCTAGGACAAATGAACAGTCTTCAAGAGCACGAAACCCTCGGCCGGCCTAACTGAAGAGCATTCGAGGGTACCCTCCCCCGGGATGCACAAGAACATCCAACAAACACGAAAAACATTAGGGCACCCTCCCCGAGCCGACCTCGATCTTACGCCTCGGTCCGACCGTATCCTGGATGTGCTGATGAGCCCTAGGAGTTGGTCGAGCTCGGGGGGTATCCCGATAAGGCTCTCCAGCATGATCCTGGCACACAGTCCCAACCCACAGGTGCAGCATGAGTGCGCCTGGCTAAAGGCAGCGGCTTCCACGTCAGCCGCACGGCAGTCGCTACTTTGTTTCCGATCGCCGCTTCTTCTTGACACTGCACAGCCTGAAGCCTCCGAGCACCAGCTCACGGAGGCACAGGCCATCGTATAACTCCAGGGCCACGACCTTCTCATGATGAAGGTCTGGGATGGGGCGGGAGCGAGGGTAAGCGGGGGTCTGGTGGGCGATGACGTGCGTCAGGCGTGGGGGCTATGTGTGTGTGCGTGTGTGTGTGTGTGCGTGTGTGTGTGTGTGTGTTTGTGCGTGTGTGCATGTGTGTGCGTGTGTGCGTGTGCGCGTGTGCGCGTGTGCGTGTGCGCGTGTGCGTGTGTGCGTGTGTGCGATTGTGTGTGTGCGTTTTTGCGTATATATGTGTGCGTGCGTGTGTGCGTGGGTGCGTGTGTGTGTGTGTGCGGTGTGTGTGTGTGTCGGTGTGTGCGTG